ATCAAACTTATACAAATTAAGGAATATTACGTGGTCAACGGCGACCACTGTAGGTAGACCGGCATGACCTGCGCGGTGCTGTGAGGAATTCGGGTAACTGAGAGAATAGTGGAAGAGGCCGAAAGGGCTAGTAATATTCTTGACTTTCTGTTGGTTGACTGGAAACGAACGGAAAGCTTTATTGTACGAGGAGGAGGAGGAGTGAACTACAGATGTCATTGATTGCAAGGTGTTGGGCTGTTGAACAGTACCATTCACGACTTCCAATGGGTCCCAGAGGAGTTGTTGGAAGTCGACTAACATACATTCCCGTCCGAGGTTATTAAGCAAAGGAGACTACGAAATTCCACTAGTATGGGCTTAATACTCTGCGCTTTCGTGCCACACTTCCTGTGGCAATCATCGTCAGGACAGACCATCTGCCAATGGCGGAGTTCCGAGTGGTGGCCACTTCGCATGCGGTTAATTAAAATCTGATCCGTTTCATTATTTTTTAAGATCCCTGGAGATCCCTAGCACATGATCGTGGTATATGGAGGTAACAGATATGCTCCTCTTTTGGCCAAACTGGAGGCAGCAAATGGCCAACTTGCAGCTTTTTGTGGCTGTGAGCTTCCAGTGTTCGATATTTCGGTTCCAGACATGCAGGGCCGCCGAGCACAATTGTATACCCTACAGTCGTGCCTGGGTTTGTAGTGCGAAGGTTTACACAATCACAGACAGACCGCAATTTACCATTTCCGGATAGTTTAGTATGACATTAGGTTCATCCCTACAGTGCCAGCATCTCAACTGAAATCGGCTGTTAGTCAAGGACGACTCTCGGAAGTTTGCTGGTTTGTTAATTGCCTACCCTCAGTAGAGGTTGGTATTCGACCTAGGGAATTGTTGGCTTCTGTAAATAAAAGCAATACCTCCTCTTGATAGGGAAGGATTTAATTTCCAGTTTTTGCTCAGTACTTTAGCCACCATTACGGATACTCACGCTTTTTAAAGTTTCGCCCTATGCTAAATACTGGACGCCGTCTAAGGCTGTTGGTGGGAGATAAAAATGCTAGCGCAAATGCTCCCGAACCAATGCAAGTCATTCAACTAAGGTAAAAGATAGCCTCCTTGAAGAATACATACACAATGGTAGGAAGAGGGAAAATGTTTACCTTTTGCACGCAAATCGTAGATGCGGACCTTGTTGTCAGAGGCGCCCACGAGTACGCCCTGTGGGGCTACTGAGAGATCGTGTAGGGGGCTGCCCGCCGAAATGCATCTGCTTTCGCCACACTTGCCGGTGGTGTCACTGGCACTGGCAGTCACATCCCACACACGGATAGTCTGGTCCCAGCTGCAAGACACCAACTTTGGCTGAGTCTGGCCCGCTTCCTCTAGCCAAGCCACTTTGCTAACCATGTTGCGGTGCCCAGCCAGAGTCAAACGAGGAATCTAAGGGTGGCAAGTTGAAGGCATGAATCGTTTTAGCCAAGTTAGGCACTATCACCGAAGATAATTACATTACTGATTGTGTAGTGCTGAAATACATTTGTGAAAGCTGGTGGCCAAACTGGTACAGTAAGTTTTCTGCCAGTAATTATAAAGTACCAACACCTTTCCAGTCTGAATCTTTCATACTCAAGTAAAGTTGGGTTACTAAAGTCCCAGTGTGTTATCGCTATTTAGTGGACAGTCCCGAAGCCGCGATTAAAACTTGAATCAAGGACAACAATTTTATATAGAATACCTGCACAATGTCCAATGTATGAACAAGTGCTACTTTCTGTAGTAATTTTAAATAAAAATAGTCACACATGCTCCCAACACTGGTACTAAGCAAAAGATCATACATGTGGTTTGCAGATTCCTGCGCTACGCAATGGTGCACCAGCGAGGGTTTTCGTTTCTAGTTGGGTCCTCTAGAATGCTTTGTGGTTTCTATTGTACGAACTCCAGACTCGAGTGTTTAACTAGGTGCGCAAACGAACGAAACGATGGGTTTGAGGTTAGGAGGACGGAACATTACTATGGTCGAAAAGGCGGATAAGAGATCATTGACGCAGATAACCGTAAATGAAAAGTCTTTATTTTGGAGAAGTGGCCACTCATGCCGTACGCCGTTTTGCAGCGTAGGGGGCATGGGAACCTAAGTAATCGAGTTAATGATATAAGTAAAAGACAGAAGGCTGCCCGTACTACACAAAGCGAGATCTACGAATGTGCTAGCTGATAGGAATAAGCATGCATGACAGCGCAAAATCCAATAGTTTTATTTACTTCAACGAAAATATGAACTCATTTGAGACAGCATTAATCTAGAATAATATTGTCAAATTCCTAATGCAAGTTCGCCCACGCACTCATTATCGCTCCCGGTTACAGTCTGCCAAATGCGTACTACTGAATATAGCTAAGCCAGTTGTAGACCAAAGGCCTTGGAGCCAGTAGTACGCCCACGGTCAGCTTT